GCTAGATCAGGTTTTTCGGAGGTACTCTCCGAGGGCTCCCAGAAGGGTACCATAAGGGGCTATTTATGTCGGAATCCAAGTCCAAGAGCATACTACACCCGTTTTGAAAACTCTGTATCATGTGGTTCCCTCGCCTACGTGAAGGCTCCGCACTGCTGAGGCTCCAAGCGATATGGCCAACACCCTACGTGCCAATGCTTCAACCGGAAGTGTACACTGCGCAATCTCAGAACATCTCGCAACACCTCCTAGCCGAACATAATTCTGTCTGGACTCCCATCGCTACAATTAGGCATAACCCTCACACCCCTATCATCCCTTGTGTCAGTACATCCCCTTGAAAAAAGCCTTCAGCCCAGTCTCTTGATGCTCTTCAACTCCTTCTCGCCCAAGTTGCCTCAGGCTTTCTGAATTTGGAGGGGAAGGGGCGGGGCCTACAACAATCTGAGGTCGGCAGGGTGCCATATAGGGGCCTTTGTAAGTAGAATAGGGTTTTGAGTTTCATACTATATACTTGTAGTAAAGCGATCTGAAGTCAGAACCAGAAAAAAACGAAGGATATGTACTACCTATTCAGGCTTCTAGAATAGACCCTGAACCCTAAACCCTTAACCCATAGACTGCAGGGTTTGGGGAGGCAAGTCCGGGAGCGTCGGTCTGAGTGTTTAGAGCTCACGGCTTCAGGCCTGCAGGGGCTTTACCTGCCAATCGAAAAACCTATGGTTTTGGGGCCTATGCCTATGCCCTATAGGGTAAACACTTACTATGTTGCAAGGTTAGAGGTTAAAGGTAACGGCTTGGAATCTTCTTGAATAGGGGGCCGGTTGGAGCGAACATACAGAAGCCTGAATCATTCAAGTCAATTAAGTTAATTGTGTTGAGGGCGGATCAAAAATAATTCGACAGTATTCCTGCATACTTACCTGATGGCCCAATAAAACCTACATTATTCGTGCTGTAACCTATGTATACATATCAGGTCATAACCTGCTTTTTCAAGGCTAAAACCTACGTAGACAGATGAGATCAGAACCTAGTTCGTACGGTCTGGGGTTAGCTAGATCACATTCAGCTTGCCTCTCTGATCTGCACATACCTGTGAGGTGTCATTCGAGAGCTGCGGACTAGGGTGAAGCTATTGCTGGGGTTTTACTTGGTGATCCTGAGAACTTCTGACTTATAACCCCTTGTAGCCTACCTTAGCACCCTGCTTGCCAAGTCAAACCACGTCCGGATAACATCTTTCTATGGCAAAATGAGAGAATTTACATGTAGTAGTTCTGTCAGCTTTTTAGAAACAACAATAACATACCACAACAACCATAGAATTGCAACACAACTTGTCATGTAATTATTCCGACGATTCCTTTGCTATCTGCATGGTTTGAACTCCCATGCTCCAAGTTGCCGGATCAGGGTGGGGTCTGGAAGACCTTACGCCCGGAGCCCGCAAATCCAAAACCCACAAGCTTGAACAAACAAAACCCGAATCTAAGGGTCCTAAACCGTAACGTAGCATACCACAGCCGTCGGAAACCTAGTAAGTCCCAAACGCAATCACGAACTTCCAGGCCGGAACTTATAAGCCTTACAACTCTACACCCTGCCACCCTGAACTGTATGGTACCTGTCTTTGTCAGCTTGGTGTCCATACTTATGGGATCCTAATCACACAACAGGACCCACTCCCCCCCCTCAACAAAAAAAAACATAAGTACCAGGGTTTCCGTGTAGGTAAGCCCGCACAGACAGGTGGCCGTCGCGGTGGGCAATCCAGTCGGCCAGGTGGTGGAAACCTGAACTAGCACGTACTTTGGCACAGGTCGCATTAAAATCCCTAAACCCTAAACCCTACAAAACGCAAAACCCAAACCTCTGAACCCTTTCAAAGTCTAGTTGCAGTAGGAGTGCTTGTTGTCGCACGCGGAGGGTCTAGACAATATTTAGTATATGCGCTTGAGGATGCTTATGGGCCTAAGTTGCGGGTTTAGACTGTTGGGCAAGCCAGGCAAGATGATCACATATGTACAATGCAGAACTCAAGATAGGGGCTACTAGAAGCGCTTGCGGTTCAGATTCAGGTAAAGAGCATCTCCGAACACAAGGAAACACTCGGGAGCAAAGCTTGATAGTTTGATATTGAGTTGTCACCATCCACGTGGCTTAGATCCCGTTTCACGAAACATACAGCAACATCAGGAAACAGCAACTCGAATGACTGAGTAATTTAAGCCTGTCATAAGAAGCTCAACATGGTGCACCCAAAGAACAAATGCAAAGCCCGGCGGCACTTCAGCCCCCAACGCACAGATATGATGGACAAGCAAAATCCGCTTATGCCTGATTCCAAACTGATGCCTTGTTACACAAGCCGCTGCTACTGAATGACTGCAGCTTCGGGAATCAAGGATCGAAAGTTTCGGGGCTTGTGGGCTTGGGGTTTGGGATTCGGGAGTCTAGTTGCTGGAACTCTGCACTCTAAAGTTCACACAACCCTGATCACAAACACACAATGAAATAAATGCCTTTTGAACACACCAAAAAAGTGTACCAAGCCTCAAACCACGGGATCTTGCGAGCAGGTCCGGTGAACGTAACCCGAGTTTCTTCAAGTTCCCTACAAGTCATGCTCACGGTTCCAACAAGGGCTGCTGGGGGATAATCTCCCACAAGATACTTATAGGAACCCAAAAGGGAGCCACGAATACTTATTCAGACTTTCATACGGTGGGCAGTCGAAACTCAAAAGCCCCCTACGCCCTAGGGCCGGGAGGGGTCTCCCTGCCAAGCGGAACCCTAACCTCGAAACCCGACCTCGGCCCAAATTCCGCAGTGGCTTCGAGGCGACAGGGGGTATTTTACGCTCAACCCTCCATCCTGGGTATTCGCAACCATTTGCAGTCAACCCTGAACCCTGAAAACTAATTTTGGCCCTAATTTTTCGAATTGGGATTTGGGGTATGTTGCAGCAGACTGAAACAAAAGCACCCTAAGGAATAGTGTTGACCTTTGCCACAATCTAAACCTCAAGGTCTTAACAGGTGATGATGTTTACAATCGCACGCCAAGCGGCTGCTGAAGGTCACCACGCACTTGTCGCTGAGGACTGCGGGCACCCACCCAAAGGTGCCTTACGGTTTAGGGTTTGGGGTTTGCTGGGCCGGGCTTGGTGTTTCGGGTTGCTCTGGGCTCTTAACAGCTTCTTCAGGGAATGCACCCTAAACCCCTGAACCCTAACACTTTTGAGGCTTAGTAGCTTAGAGCCCCAAGCCGCAAAACCTGAGGCCTTAACCGCAACTGCCTCAGCCCTGTTCTTATCTTGGGCAAGACTGCACTCCGAGAGCTCTTGGCAGTTCAACCTGTTGTGTGTTATAACCCTAAACCCTAAACTGGACCCTTAACCCTAAAGCCTTCGGGTCTCCAAAAGGTGCTCTTCGGGTTTTGGGGTCTTCATTGAAGATCCTTGGGTCTTTTTGCGAGACCTTCGTCTGAGCCCCCCCAAACCCCACACCCCCCATCGACAAAAAGCATACACAGAGCCCCAATAAATTAAGCCATGCCGAGTCTAGATGAATGCGAAATCCTTCTTGGGTCTGTTGTTAGATTTAGACTGGCTTGGATGCTTGAAACATCTGGACGACCATTCCTCCGTGATCTTCATTCTGTCATATAAGCATAGTGCGGTCACCCTGAAAATTCCCAATTAAAGAAATAATACTATTTAGGCTGGTCAGTTAACGCCTTTGAACAATATTAGCAAGACAATCCCTAACCCCCCAGGTACCTACTATATAGGGTACTAGAGCCCCTAAGGCCCTATATAGTAGGCACCTGGGGGGTTAGGGAATATTAGTAACACAGATCCTCTTAAGCCCAGGAGGCGAAGATGCAAACTGCCCAACGGCAGCCACGGTTTTGGGATTTACGGTTTAGAGTTTGGGGCCGTCGAGCTCCGAATTTCACAGAAGCCAGGTCGGATGTCTTAAAGACCCTGACCTTGAAACTACACATTCTTATAAACCCTACAAAGCTCACCAACTCCAAAGCCCCCGGTCTTCATGTATGGGCCCAAGAGTCCCTAGATCACCATCTCTAAAGTCGAGTCTAAGCCCTAGGCCCTAGAGGGATCTTATAGAACCCTGAAGAGAATCTAAAGAACCCCTCTAGGAACCCTTGAAGGAGCCAAAAGAACCCTTGTAGAACCTTTGAAAGACACCATGGATACTCAGATCCCAAAGGCTCTGCGCCAGCAGAAGGATGTCGGCCTGTGTGCTTGGGCCGCGAGGAGCAGAAAGGGAACTTTGAGATACATGTAGGGTGTAGGGTTTAAGGTTTATAGAGTTTAGAGTTTAGGGTTTAGGGTTTAGGGGGTTCCATTAAAGGGTTTTATAGGGGCTGCTGTGAGGGTTTGGGCATAGGGTCTTGGGATGTATTCCACAACTATAAAGACTCTCCTACTTCGAGCATTCAGACCCCTTTACTACATGCCAAACTCGTTACATGTCACTAGCCTTAATCCCGGTACACCTGGGTTTTCAGGGCTTAAACCCTGAAAACCACTTCAAACTCCAGATCAAGCCCTAAACTCTAAACCCCTTGAAGGCCTAAAAACGATTAAGGGCTTCGGCTACTGCCCTTCCTTCCCTTCACGAACGGCTCTCAAGAGGGCGGGCCCCTCAGGGTACCACGGCTGGTCCTACAAATTTACCCTCCAGACCCCTAGGGTTCAGGGTTGCTGTGCTAGTTGTCAAGAAAATCGACGACAAGACGATTAACGGCAATAAGGCCGGTAGACAAAGCACAAGCAGCACGGCCACAATGGTTGTATGGCAACAATGGCAATCGACATGTTCGGAGCAGGGGCAAGAGCCAACGAAGCATGCAGGACCAGTGACGCATAACGATTCTTAGTAAGGGTCTGACACTAAACTGAAACTGGAGCGAACCAATAGTGACGGCCGTGAGCCTGATCATGTAGACACAAGAACTGCCACAGTTCATCAAGCACAATCAACCCCGAAATCCCTGAACTGATGCCCAAACCCCAAAACCCGAAACACTAAACCAAAAAACTCTACACCTGAATCTCTGGCCTGAGCCATGTGGGCCCAGTCTTCATCAACTTCTCCATCAAGGTGGACGCTCACGCCGCGATTGCCTGAAGAAGAAAATCCCTGGACTAACGCCCCGAAACCTTCAGGCCCTACATGGATACTTCTCTAAATTAGGGTCCCTTTTAGGATGTTTTTTAAAATAAGGGTGCCGTACTTTGTTGGGACCTGAAATGGGACCGGTATTTAGAGAACTACCCACATCCTCAGCTGCTAGACAGCCCTTACACCCCGCTTGCAAGCCCGAACCGCACGAAGTAGTAGGCTACATCATGCCAAATTTAAACTAGGGTTACATATAATCCTTAACTAGAGCGGTAGGTGCTTGGATGCCGCGGTAAACTCTATAAGGGCATTTCATCCTGGAAATGAAGGCTTCATTGCTTGTGGTGTCTGGACGTTCAGGGGTCCCCCTTTCCGTCTCGCAAGATCCAGGAAGCAGGTTTTCCGCTGGGCGTAAATGAGAGGCTCTTAGCATCCTAAAAACACGCTGTACCTTCCGACCATGTCGTCACTGAACTCACCACCGGTCCGACGTTCAGGGTCTAGGGCCGGGCTGGGGGATCCGAGAGACTACGGCCTAGGCTGACTAGGGTATAACAAACTACTGCTCCAAGGGCCCATGATGCAAAACTGTCGGGTCACAAGCTACTGCGTTGGAGGCCTAGGGATTTAGGTTTACTGGCCGGGGTCAAGGTCTACGATGGAGGACTTTGGGGTGCGTAGATTCTTGAGCCTCAGGCTGCAAGTCCGTGCAGCATTAAAGCCTCCTGGACCCCGTTTCGAGAGCTTCTGGTACCTTCCTTCCCCAGAAATTCCCTGCTCCATAAGCCCGGAGTAAACCCTTGCCCATCCTTGCCTAACCACAACAAACATAAGCCGAAGGCTCAAGAAGAACCAACAATCCTAAACCCCAACATCCCACAATCCCAAGCCCTCGCAGGCAGAATCTCAAGAAACGCTTATAAGCTTAACCTACAGAATGCTGTTGTGTCTCTCGGAAACGCCACTCTAAACTCGAAAAGCTCCAGAACTGAACTCCTGCTTGGTTGCGGTAGCCATCGAACTCAGACTCCGTGTGCTTCCCTTCTGTAGAGCTGTAGACCTGGCTGAAGCTCCAGGTTTTCGGTTGTCTTCACATGGCTGAGAGTTTAAACGGTTTACCCTTAATTTCAGCCAGTGGCCGAAGTCCTTAAACTCTGAACCAGGCCCCGAACCCGAAACTTGGGATCCAAGCCTCGAGTTGAAGGAGCAATCACTGAGTTCTCAAAACTCGCGACAGGCACATGCAAACATACATACATGTGTATATATATATATATCTATCTATCTATCTATCTATCTATCTATCTATCTATCTATCTCTCTCTCTCTCTCTCTCTCTCTCGTTCTCTCTCTCGGTTCCCCTCTCTCTCCCCATGCTATCTTGTCCATACGGTGTCCAGTGGGAGCATGGGTTTAAGATATTAAGAATGCGGGGCTGACCACGGAGCGCAAAGGGAAGGAGTGCTGGTATAATGGACGTTACATGAAATTCCCCACTTGCCGAGAGATGCTAGGGTCTCTTGCCTCCAAAGGGTGCTTCGACTCGGGCTTTTTCGGGATCAAAGCATTTCGTCGTCTGAGGGTGGTTTCCTAATCAAGGGACCTCAGCAAGCAGAAGAACGGCTCAAGCGGCATACGGTGGTAGTAGCCAAGATAGCATAGGGACTATACATACAAGGGGACTTAGTATCTAGTTGTTCCGACCCCTATGTTGCAGTCTTGATGTGGCTCCCATGACAGCCACGGGATCGGCTGAGAGGCCCTGCTGCTGGTGGTGGTGGTGTTAGCAACCCTCGCCCACCTTGCAAACACTTTTTTGTAGAAACATGAATCAAGCCTTCGAGCTTCAGATGGCAAAATCAAAATCCAGGGCGGGCCACATGGAAGTCAACATTGTCGAATGCAGACTTGATCCTATCGATGATGCGATAGTTCCTCGGAGCAGGAATCAGATAAACTCGCTAGGCTTGGAGCTCGCTGCTTCTAGCCTCGGATGCAAGCTTTGGGTGCGGGGAACTTTGAACTGACAGCACGAGACCGGCAAAGAGACTCGTCTAGCTTCCCTGCCTCCTTTCGGTTGCTCCCGGCCAGTGTCTCTAGGAATGTTGGAAGTTAAAGCCTTTCTGCGAGAAGGTCGAGGTTTCAGTATCTAAGCTGTGGGACATAGTGAATTCAAGTTCTCGTCGAGTGGCACCTTGAAGCCCTAACCCAGTTCACCTGCGACATGCCCCCAAAGCCTGGCGTGGGCCACCGAGCCGAGGACGACCAACGAGCACTGCTGATACGGATACACGCTTTAGAACTCATGTATACCCGTGGTTAATGAAACCCCGTTCTATAAGCTTTAACATAGGAGATCTAGTGAAACCTGTATTCTGCGATCAGGACAACACAAACATATGCACACACACACCCATCACCTACTAAAGATCCTGAACTTAGGTACCCTTACAATAAGTTTAAGAAACCTCCAGATCGCAACAAACAACTAGCTGGATCCGGATTCGTCCAAGGGGCGTTTCGTCTGGGACTGCCCGCCAGGAGCCCGTTTCCAGGTCTCCGCGACGGACATGCATAGCGACGGTGATCTTGCCACCCTTGCTTTGGCATGCTTTGGGGCTGAAGACTTAGGGTTTAGAGCATCTAAGGTATGCGTTTACTGTAGTGAGTGAGCTGCAGAGCTGCAGTCTGAAGCCCTGCATGCACAAAAACTTCCACCGGCCTCCGGCTTTATGGCGAAGTTTGGTTAGCACCGTAAACCCCACCCCCGAAGCCAAAAAAATAACACTGGCCGCCTCTTTCAGCGCGCCCTCAAAGTGGGGGACCTTCTGCCTCATGAGAGGAGAGGACCTGAACGGATGCGAGGCACACAAAGCCGAACTCTGAACGGCTCAGGGCTTCGTACTAAGGGTGCTCTGGTGCTTTGGGCTATGATCAGATCAACGAACTCCCAAACCCTCAACCCCCAAACCCTTAAAACCCCCCTGAACCCCTAAACGCTTAAACCCTCAAGCAACCCTAAACCCCCCACACCCTTAAAACCCCTGAACCCTAAACCCCTTTTTTTTGAACCCAGACTCTGCTGATCAACCAACCCTAAACCCCTTAAACCCTAAACCTTCACTCCTAAACCCTAAACCCTAATTAGACCCTATACACCCTGAACCCCCTAAACCCTAAACACAAAAACCCAAACGCGGTTCGGAGGGCTCACGGAGCTTCTTCCGGAACTCGTCTGTGAGCAGAACGTCCGCGTACCAGGGCCTGCTTTCAGTGCATTTAGGGGTTTAGAAAGTTTAGGGTTTTA